AAAACGATGATTAATTAATACATATAAAGGTAAAATATTTTTCTGACTATTAAAGATATTTGTTTTTTTCATTATGGATCTATTTTGTTGTTTGTTCTGAATCTCAGATGAACAAAGTGAATTAGGTTTATCAAAACAAGAAGTGGCTAAACAAGTTCAAACACAATTAAATCTTGAATATGTTGAACGAGCATTTGAAACTATTGAAAATTCTAATGAAATTGAAGAATTATCACCTGGTCTTGGACGTTTATTAGTTTTACAAGCTCGTTCTATATTAACAATGAAATCAGTTGTTCAAAATTTAAATGATGATTTAGAAAAACATCTTAAAATGGTATTTATTTTTCTCTATTTCTTATTTCAAATATAAAATTGATTTTATAAAAAAAAATTAGATAAGAGAAAAATTAATTCGTGAACATCCAATAAAATCTAAAATTAGTCGTTGGATTCAAAGTAAATTATTTGAAGAAAGAATAAATTATATTCATCAACATGAATGGGATGCACATCAATTATCAATTGATCAATGTCAAGCATTAGGAAATCAACAAGTTGCATATTTTATTCAACGAGATTTTACATTTCGAAAAGATGTAATTAAAGAAAAATGTTTTTTTTTCAAATATTACTAAATATCTATTATTTTTTGTTTATTCTAGCATGAACCAATTCTTCGTCGTACTCTTAAACCATCAATTGAACCTTCGAAAACAATTGAATGTAGTCGATCGATATGGTTGCCAAGTAAAATTTAAAAAAAAGAGTCATTTGTTTTTTAAATCTTCTTTTTAAGAATATTGGATTGTCGAACGAACATATCCACTTCCAACAGAACGTATTCCAACAGTATTTGCTAAACATACATACACATCTGAACAAGAAGAAAGTCAATGAAGATTGATTGACTCTAATGTAAATTATCTTTGTCTTTTTATATCAATCTAGATTCTAATTATCCTATAATGTTTAAGAGTTTTTTCAAGCTGAAAATATGCATCCAAAGTTTCGAAAACTTTTCAAAAATTTCAAAAAGGCTTGTTGAAACTTCGGAAACCTATTATTAACTTCATAAAGCTCTTAAAAAATGTCCGAGATTGTGTCGATAAGTCTATGACCAGATATTCATAGCGTCTCGCTATAATATATGATCAACATCTTTATTTTATTTCGAAAACATTAAGTAAAAAGATTATGAAGATATATGTCTCAAAATCGAACGAATAAAATAATCTCTCTGTGATTAGTTACAGCAACTATGTATATCGTGTTGCATATTTTAACTCCACAGGAATTGCATTAAGAACTATTTTTATTTTTTGAAGAGTGTATAATTAGTATTGGTATTTTTTTTAGCCTTATGCAAAATATAATCTTCAACGAAAAATAACTTATTCAACAACAACAAGATATCCATTTTGGCGATGGAAATTATTTGCACTTCGTACATATTGTTGGCTTTTAAATGCTATTTATACATTTTGTGTATGAAAGATATCGTTTTAATCAAGAATTTATTTTATTTAGTTTCTGTTTAGCTTGTAATTCCATTTGCTAGTCCAGTTAGTTTTCGAGCTCTATTATCTCCAAGGCCATTTAGACCTGATTATAAATTTAATCGAGATGATGTATGTAAAGAAAAAGAAAAGAATTTATTTCATATTTTATGGTAATTTCTTTTTTTTCATTTAGTTGAAACTTCATGAAGATCCATCTTCAAAAACAGAAACATTTATTTCACGTCTTGCTGCTCTTTGGAATCATGTGAGACAATCAAGACAAAAATTCGAACGAGCACCTGATCGAGGTATGCACATAAATAATGAAATGATGACAAATCTATTAAAATAATATAGATGAAAACGGATACTAAAATTTCAAGACTCAGTATTATATGGAAGGTATATCAAGATTGAAAAATCTATTTTGAAAGTTAACATCGACTGCATATGATAAATATGAATAGGTCCCTGTAAGACTAAGATAAGCTGAACAAATTTCGAACCATGATACATTAATGCTGTTTTAAAACACAACGGTTTACTAAATGTTTACTTCTAAATAAAAATTTCATAAAATCGGTCATCATCATTTTCAACTTTTCGTAGTTCCACATAGACCTACTCATAACCATTATATGAAGTCGAATGGTGTTTCCTAGTTATATCGTACAATTCTTATTAAAAATTTATTGTGAGAGCAATTAGTTGTTCTTTTAACTAAACAGAGAAATCATACATTCACATACTCAATGTATTGTTTAATCATATGTTAAAGAAGAAGAATCAACAAATCTTTATTTTAGGACTTTTGGGAAAGAATGTGCAAAGATTTTTCAATCGATTTTGGAATTATGTAGCAAAAGGTTTTGTTGGTACTGTTGCCATTTGTACTGTTTATCCAGTTTCTTGTGTACTTCTTTCAACTGGCTCTTTTATATTAGGTGCTTTATCACCTATTTGGTAAATTTTTACAATGTAGCAGAATAAGTTTTCATTACCTATTTAAATTTAGGATGCCAATTCTAACATTATTATTTCATATAGTTCAAATTCTTGTCTATGATGCAAATTCAGCTGGTAATGATAATAAATGAATTATTATAATTATGTCATAATAATTGATTATATTTTTAATTTCAGGTGAATATGGTCGAAAATTTTTTTGTCTTATTAATATTTTAATAACTGATTTTCTACTCTGTGGTATTGTACAACCAATATTAGTATTGATTGCATTAGTTTTTAGTCCAATAACTTCTCTTTTAATTCTGATTTGTAAGTTATTTTGAAAAATAAATACTGTATAATATTTAATGTTTTTTTTATAATCTATAATTTAGATGCTCTTCTACATCGTTTTGCTGGTGGATTGTATGATATAATAGTATTTAAATTGATTATTAAACGTTTAGCTCGAATTCCTGCACATGATACTTTTCTTGCAAGACGTATTGCTGGTCCAGGTTTAGCAGCACAATATTTTTATCAAGTTTCATCACCAGAAGTATTAGCAGCATTAGAATCGTTAATTGAACAAAAGGAATTGAAGATGTATCGTTCATATATTGAAGAAATTTTAACGAAACCAATTAATGAATATCGGTTTGATTTTATTTTATTGACTAAAAANTGTAAAACAATGAATGAACAATCATGTAAACAACTATATATGATTCTATTCTAGTCTTTAAATTAACTTACTTCTAGGTAATTAAACACTTGTAACAACATCAAGATCATCATGCAAATTAGCGGAATGAATCATATGTAGTTGTTTACATAATTGTTCATTCATTGTTTTACATAAATTATGTGGTACAATATTAAAGCAATGCTATCAGAGAATATCATAAGAAACATTTTGCCTATGCTTTTAGATTACGTGCTAGAGTCGATTAAAATAGATAAACTCCATGAATTTAAATTCGAATTTTTTTCCAATTTCTTATTAAATTAAACAGTTCTTGGAATCATTCTTTGTTTGCTTGTCAAAGACAGACATCTTTCTCTATCTGTGATACGACAAGTTATTGATATAGTATGTTATATCTGTGTTTACATGAATGGTTGAATAAGTCAATGTTGAACTTTTAAGTTTTCATATGTAAGATAATTCAACAATTAAATTTAAGCTGTAAGTTCGATATACTTACTATCTGGTAAAGTATTCTTATGTTGAAAAATAATAACAGTCGAAAATAAAGCTTGTCGTTGATTTTTAATATTTGGATGATATTTTTTTTTTTAACAAAAGATTTGCATAATAGAGTTTAGTGATTGTTACATCTAGTCAATACTATCTCTTTTTGAGAATTACTCTTACATGATCTCAGAAAAATGAATATAAAACCTTACTAGTAGATTATTCTTCCCTCAGTTTTGTTGCCGTTGATGAATTAACTAATTTTTATAGTAGTGATAACTATTTTAATTATGTTTATTTTCAGCTTCATATACAATTTATTATCCATCATTTGATCAAAATATTTTTAATCCGAATAAATGTATTCTTAATATATCAAAAGATTATTCGTATGTTAAGAAAACACTATAAAAACTTATAATCTATTTCTTTTTTATTCTTACCTAGTGGAGAGCATCGTGAAAAAGCTTATGGTCGTGTATATCGATTTTTTAATCATCAAGGTAATAATTTAAAACATATTAAAAATTTATCAAAATTTATTGACTGTACATCAATAACATGTCATTTTTCTATACCAATACAATTACCTGATTTAATCTATGTTAATGTTATTATATTTAATCGTGATAATAATAATTCAATAACAACAGCATCATATAGAAATATATCTCTTCAAGATATTCTTCAACTTATTGCATACAATAAAAAATTTCATGATGAACCTATGTTACCAATAAATTCATCAAGAATTTCATCTCCTACTACAATGAATAATATGACACATAGGGATTTAGTATGATTAATACAACATTAGATAATAATAATGATCATGATGAACTACTAAATAATAATATTACTTTATTTGACGAAAAACTTTTGTAATCATCTTATTATAACAATAGCAAAATTTCTTTTTCTGTTTCCTTGTAACAGTGATGAATTTGATCCCTCTCTTTTTTAATATGCTTTTTATTATAACATATCTAGGGATGTACCGAGACCGAGATTGAACCGAGACTCTCGGCCCGAGCCGTCTCGATCTCGGTCACGTTTCTGATTAGAAATATACCGAGAGTAAAGATTCATTGATATAGATGAGAAGTTTTCATTTTCAAGTATCTCCAAGACTATAGGAAATTTATTGTTAACTAATTCGTTTGCTTTCATGTAGCTATCCCTACATAGGCACGGTTGGATTCCGAAAGGAGAAAACTACATTTTATTCAGATTTGATGGAAATATTGAAGTTTTCAAGTAGGATTGGCTTGAATTTGGTCTCTTTCTTTCCTGATCGAACTTTCCCTCAGTACGTAGAGCTAGATAAAGGTAAGATGATCAATTAGCAACAAATGACTTGTAGAGTCTTGAAAATTTTTGAAAACGAAAAACCCTTGTTCGTATCAATGAAATTTCAATATCAGTAAATCCATGGCCTCATTAAGCTTTGATCTTCAACTTTTTGAAAATTTGTTTTTGATTCAAAAAACTTAATATATCGAAGTGTACGCATCTTGTGGCATTATATGCAATAATGGGGTGTGGGTGTGGGTGGGTGTGTGGGTGTGGGGTGTGGGTGTTGTTGTAGGTGAGGGTGGGTGTGGGTGTGAGTGTGTGGGTGTGGGTGTGGGTGTGGATGTGGGTGTGGGTGTGGGTGTGGGTGTGGATGTGGGTGTGGGTGTTGGTGTTGGTGTCTGTATCAGACTATCTGCCACACCGTCTCCCCCCCGC